GGACAGGGAGTAACACCCGAACAATGGACTACCCTTAAGTCGGAATGCATTAATCCCCGGATTAAGCAATTAATGCCAGTAAATGCCATTTGTGGACTAGTCTTGCATATATTTTTTGTTGGCTATTGACTATAAATACAGAATATTCTATGCTTTAGTAAATTCTGTATGGTTTCTGTGTATTCCTAATACCATAATCTGTTGTATTTCTCAGGAGAATGGAGTGAATACGTGGCAAAAGTGCAGCGAAAGAGTAGCCGATTTGTGTGATGACAGCCAATGGATGGACGGCAAGGATTGCGCCAAAGAGATGCTTTCGGAACAAGAAGTTGGGGTATATTTGGCACTCATTTTTGTTTTGATTATTGTATATAAATTGCTTATCATTTTTCATGAAAAACCAATACATGATTTGAATTTTTAAATATTCAAGTCAAGTCCAACAAATATATTAATCTAATTATAATATAAAGTGTTTTTCCATCACTTGTTTACCAGAAAAATTTCATTTTCAGATATTTTCCACTATAAGTCGAATAAGAAATCGATATTAAAAATATATATTTCTCTAACCTCTAGGAAATGCATGACTGGTACAGGAGTCGGGTCATACAAATGAGAAATAATTTGCAAATAATCAAAGTAATTAATAATTGTGTTATAAAACCATAAACTAGTATTTAATGTAGAATCTTTGCTTAATTTTTACACAGAGTTGTTATCAACAGCAACGGAAAAATGTGAAAAATCCTTAGGAAACCCACATTTGCCATACACTCATAACTCCACTCGTATTTTCAAGATTTAATTTCGGTTTATATTTGACTACATTTTATTGCTTTTCTCTGAAAGAAATTTCAATATTTTGTTTACTATTCACTAAACCCTTAAGCCCTTTATATTATGCTTAGATTTAGCGCTTTTAAACTCATTGTAATCCAAGAATCCGTCATTATTTGTATCGTCAGTCCGTAACAACATATCGACAATTGCTGTAAAAATTAATTGAAAATCAAAAAATTTGTACTGAAATACACTGAATAAAAGGCAAACCTATGTTCTGATCGATTGAATGAGTAGTTGAATGCGAGTGATGGCTGTTCTCGTGTCTGTCCATCATTGACAGCAATTCCAAACCATCCAATAATTTGTTTTTATCGAAATCGTGTAAACTATCAAATTAGACAATTACTATAACCAACTTGACCCTGGTACACCACACCTATAGGACTCACTTAAACATATGAAAGTCCATCTCCTGTTCCAAATCGGCCGACTTATTGTCCAAATCATAATTGATTCCGTAGTGATACTCCAGTTCCTCTTTGATGTGCTCTAAGGGCTTGCCCTCACTTATTCGTGTCACAAATAGTTATCATTAAATTAGTTTAAATACAAATTCAATGAAAAGCAGCGTGTTTTAAGTCAATGTTCAATACTTAGTGGTGTTGTCGTCACCAAAAACCCAGTTCCAGAAGTCGCCCACATCTGGATCGGCCGATGCCCTGATATCGCTCTTCATATCACTCAAGAGATCGCATTTAATAGTTCCCAAACATATTATCGTCAATAAACAAGACATCAATTGGAAAAAAGTCTTCATTTTTATTATTATACTTATAATTATTGTTTAACAAAAATTAACATAATTTACACTTTTATACATTAAAGCTATTTTGAGAGCACAGGGCCTTCTTAAGACTTTTTTTGACACAAATTCATTAAATACTGTGTAATACACAGTCATATAAGACTTTTTCGGGGATTATAAGCGAAAGTTATTATTAAATCTAAAATTAAATTTGTGGCCAAAAACTTATGGACAACTGAATGGTGACATACCTTCAGACTCTTGCGGCTCCCCTTCGTATGAGTCGCTGGTGAAGACATGCACTTCCATGAGGAATGGCTTGTCGTCGAAATCATAGGTAAGAATACCGATGAACTGGAGGTCACCGGAGATTAGTTTGCATTCTTCGTACAGCTCTCTAATCACGAGTGATATACCAATCATATTAAATGACATGATATAAGGGTAGTGACAATGAATGGTAACCAACCTCTTGGCTGCAGAGACAATGGTCTCCCCGTCTTCCACTTTACCCCCGAATCCATTCCAGAGACCCAATCCATGGCCTCTCTTCTTAAGACCCAATAGGATGTGATCCCCTTTTGTCACCCAAACTATTGTCAAGATTTGTTTGCTTTTCATTTCACGTCTAATAAGTTATGATAAGTTTATAAAACTGGTTATTATGTTCACAATACAAATATGTTTATAAAAACTATGACAAAATATTTTAAATATTTTGATTAAATGCCGATTTTATATAATATTCAATACTTTTGCATATCTTATAGCAAATGTTTAGTTACATAATGTAAGTTACATTATGTACAGTAATTATTGTACAAAACTGTATAAATATCATACTTTTAAACTAAAATATTTTTGCATAAACTTTGCACTCAATCGCCAATTATATTGAATTTCAAAACTAACACAAACTTTTATCTAAACTCTATCGCTAACTAATTAACAAATAAAGAATATATTAATTTTTATATTTTTATAAGAAATAAATTATTTTTAAATCATTTGCTTAATAATTTTAATCATTTGAATACTGGTTTAAATAAATAAGTTTAAGGTTTAAGCTTATATAATATTATAATTAATGTCAAGACTTTCAGTTGAAAATTGATTATAAAAAAGTAGCAAAACTTCATTTATTCGGATAAATAATCCAATTATTGTGTAAATGTCTGTCAAGGAGTTCATATAATTGTAATTACAATGACTTTTATTGGGATTTATTCTCAAAACTAATTATAAAGACAAAAATAATGAGACCATTAGTCATATGAATATTTTTAAAAGTCGTTTGTTATATATTTTATAACAACATTACAGCTTGGTCCATTTTTATAAAAATTATCTAGTTATAAAAGTTTTTATTGTTTTTGTTTTATAATTAAGAGCTTGATGCTAGAAAACATAAATCAAATTTAATTGATTTCATTATAATCTTAATTTATTTAAAATATTTTTATATTTAAAACTATATGAACAATTTTGGAAATTTAACAAAACACCAAAAACAAATATATTTATGCAAATCTATGCCTTGACATCAAAATTCATATAATAGTTGACTATTTCTCTATATTAAAAATAAAATATTGTTTAAAACTTGTATATTCTTTCTAAAAATTGATATACACTAGTATATACAGTACACACAAAACTGTGTTAAAAATTACCTTTAATATTTTATTTGCTTATGAAATACATTTTATATTAATACAATAGAAATGTTGAATGAAAACAGAAAATCATTGAAAATTTTACATTTTAGTGTATTTCAGGGGAGAGAGAGAGAGAGAGAGAGAGAGAGAGAGGGAGAGAGAGAGAGAGTCATAATACAACAGTTTTATTATCAAATATTTTCCAGTGTTTTGCATCTTTTGTTAAAACTCGTCGAGCATTGAATATAGTGTTTCATATGAATTATTTATTTTCATACATTTTTTACACTCAATATTTGCAAAATAAAAACATTGTGTTTAATAATTCACAGAATTTCTTGAATATTCATGCAATATGTATAAAAAGGGATATGACTTATGATTGAAAAACACATTTCAATTCACTGTCGGATATCACACGTATTGAAATATAATACAAAATTTCATTAAATTTTAACAGAATCTCGAGAATATATACAGTATATTGTTTATATTACAGTGCCTAAGACCTCAACTGTTGTCAAAATACACGCCAAAATTCAGAGCACAGTGAGCTACAGTAGCTGACAGTCGTCTGTTTGTTTCTGTTCAGTGTTTACAGTGCTCATTACCTTAGGCATTCGGATAGTGTCCGCCAATGGCTGTGCAATGGACAGGGAGTAACACCCGAACAATGGACTACCCTTAAGTCGGAATGCATTAATCCCCGGATTAAGCAATTAATGCCAGTAAATGCCATTTGTGGACTAGTCTTGCATATATTTTTTGTTGGCTATTCACTATAAATACAGAATATTCTATGCTTTAGTAAATTCTGTATGGTTTCTGTGTATTCCTAATACCATAATCTGTTGTATTCCTCAGGAGAATGGAGTGAATACGTGGCAAAAGTGCAGCGAAAGAGTAACCGATTTGTGTGATGACAGCCAATGGATGGACGGCAAGGATTGCGCCAAAGAGATGCTTTCGGAACAAGAAGTTGGGGTATATTTGGCACTCATTTTTGTTTTTATTACTGTATATAAATTGCTTATCATTTTTGATGAAAAACCAATACATGATTTTAATTTTTAAATATTCAAGTCAAGTCCAACAAATATATTAATCTAATTATAATATAAAGTGTTTTTCCATCACTTGTTTACCAGAAAAATTTGATTTTCAGATATTTTCCACTATAAGTCGAATAACAAATCGATATTAAAAATATGTATTTCTCTAACCTCTAGGAAATGCATGACTGGTACAGGAGTCGGGTCATACAAATGAGAAATAATTTGCAAATAATCAAAGTAATTAATACATTTGTTATAAACCCATAAACTAGTATTTAATGTATAATCTTTACACAGAGTTGTTATCAACAGCAACGGAAAAATGTCAAAAATCCTTAGGAAACCCACTTTTGCCATACACTCATAACTCCACTCGTATTTTCAAGATTTAATTTCGGTTTATATTTTACTACATTTTATTGCTTTTCTCTGAAAGAAATTTCAATATTTTGTTTACTATTGACTAAACCCTTAAGCCCTTTATATTATGCTTAGATTTAGCGCTTTTAAACTCATTGTAATCCAAGAATCCGTCATTATTTGTATCGTCAGTCCGTAACAACATATCGACAATTGCTGTAAAAATTAATTGAAAATCAAATGAAATTTGCACAGAAATAAAGACTCAATAAAAGGCAAACCTATGTTCTGATCGATTGAATGAGTAGTTGAATGCGAGTGATGGCTGTTCTCGTGTCTGTCCATCATTGACAGCAATTCCAAACCATCCAATAATTTATTTTTATCGAAATCGTGTAAACTATCAAATTAGACAATTACTATAACCAACTTGACCCTGGTACGCCTATAGGACTCACTTAAACATATGAAAGTGCATCTCCTGTTCCAAATCGGCCGACTTATTGTCCAAATCATAATTGATTCCGTAGTGATACTCCAGTTCCTCTTTGATGTGCTCTAAGGGCTTGCCCTCACTTATTCGGGTCACAAATAATTTACATTAAATTAGTTTAAATACAAATTAAATGAAAAACAGCGTGTTTTAAGTCAATGTTCAATACTCAGTGGTGTTGTCGTCACCAAAAACCCAGTTCCAGAAGTCGCCCACATCTGGATCGGCCGATGCCTTGATATCGCTCTTCATATCACTCAAGAGATCGCATTTAATAGTTTCCAAACATATTATCATCAATAAACAAGACATCAATTGGAAAAAAGTCTTCATTTTTATTATTATACTTATAATTATTGTTTAACAAAAATTAACATAATTTACACTTTTATACATTAAAGCTATTTTGAGAGCACAGGGCCTTCACAGAGCACTGGGAGATCACCTGCTCTTTAAGTCAATCATTTAATATATGGTATATTAATATATTATAATTTCTTATTTTAAATCTACTGTTTGTGTGAATTTGTCGTTTAGTTTATATAATTATGAATTGAATCGTGAAATGTATTACTCGTTGTTCACAACACATATACAACATATTCCATAAGAGTTTGCGATTTTGTGTCCAGCAGTTCAATACCACAATCTCATAGACATATCGATAACAACTGATAATTTGTATTTACATGAATTCTCTGATAAGTGAATATGTGATGACATTTGCCATAAACATACAAACTATTCATTTTAAATTCATCGTATCATATGAATATTGATAAAATACTGTTTCAATTCATTTAATTTTAACTTAAATTCATTAATTTAAAAAATAAAACAATTAGTTATCGTTGTAAATAATATTTTTAAAAATACAATCATTTTTCTTATTTAGTGAAGAGATTCACTTAATGGTCAATATTATTGATATTTCGATTAAAAAGCAAAAAGCAATCATTAATACTGTATATAGACATAAATATAGATATTTTGTATGTTATTAAACATTATTGACGTTTTAGGACAACAAAACAAATGGTTTACTATTTTATATCTAATTTACTGAATCTAGTGTTGCTTAAGTAAATCTAGCGTTTAACTCAAAATACAAAAGTTTTTACAATTAAATTTCAATTCATATGGCATTTGACTATACAATACAATAATTATGAAGTTTTAAATACTTATTTTATTGCTTATAATTTATATATTCATTTGAAATCCCTAAAGATTTTGTTTTAATTCAAAAAACCATTATATTTAATAATATTTTATCATTTGGTGACATAACATGACTGAGACATACGGGAAGTACTTTACGTATACCGGTAATTGAAAGCATTTTCATGAGGTGTCTGTCGTACGGAATGTGTTCATGTTTTTGGGACAATTGTATACCAAACCTAAACTATTAAATTAGTGATATATTCATGAATTTTATATTACTATTGAAAGTCAAACGGCAGTGATTTTCAGCATTCTTTAACCCATACAACAGTTATATTTGGTTATGAAACCCATGTTTAAGCCATAATAGAGAGAATCAAATGGTTTCTCAGATCTCATAATCATTAAAATCATAAATGCATAAATTAAATGCTAACACTAAGTTAATGCTAATAAGAGTTAAATTATAAGTACCAGTAATAATAATCAAAATTAATAACAAAATTAATAAGCAATAACAAAGTATACAAATATGTGCTTAAAATGCAATGAGATTCTGTAGTCAATCACAACAAACTTAAATGACTTGAAAATAATTAGTAAATAATTAAGCTTTAAAAATAAAATCCTTATGATATTCGCTGTCATTTAATACCCGTCCCCGAACTGTGGCCGTTGCTGCGGGAAGTGTGTCTGGGCTGGCATTTGCTGGCCACCCATTTGATCGCCAAACTGTGCACCAAAGCCGGGCTGTTGTCCGGGCGGTGCCATTTGGTCGGGCATTTGTTTGCGATGGAATTGAGTCTCTTTGAACACAAACCACATACTGGCCGCCCATAAGAATATATTCGCGAAACCAAAAATCTATTCAAAAAAGCAAATCATTTAGAAAACTCAACATAACT